AACCACCCCGTAATAAAACTGTCAGGATTTTAAGATCAAGATGGTGTCTGTTTTCTCTCATTGGTCCTCTTAGCAGCTATACACTCTGAACATTTCAGTGCATGGCATAATACTCTTCACTCTAATGAAGTGAACGGGAGGTGGAAGTAGCACCTAAGAATCACACAATGCTAGGGGCCTTTGCCTACCCACTCAGCCTGCTTGGCTGTAAGCCTGTGTGTTAAAATACAACTTGGTGCATGATCGTTATCCCTCCATGAAGCTTTTCTCTTTCCTTTAAAAACAGACAAAAATCCCTTGTGCATAAAGAGGGAAGCGTGCCCTTCCAGGGTGTTGAGTTCAGCAAAGCAGGAAAAGTTTTGCAAAGCAGGAGATAAGGTATTTCAGATTCAGGCCTCTGAAAACTAAGCACCAGAGAATTAAGGTGCATAAGCATGTACCTTAACTCTGCCCTTTGAGTAACAGCACATGTCCCTGTAACGCAGTTTCTTGCTATGACCGTTGAACTGCACGGAAGAGAAGCCATCTGTACCTGCCCTAGAGCCAAACACTTCCCCTACTTCACAGAATCAAATGCTGCATCTGCTGTGACCCCTCACACTCCCTTCACCCTCTTTTCCATGCCTTTTATCCTTTTATGTAGATCACCAGCTCACATGCTACTTTCAGTCTGACCGTATTCGAAGGCTGTACTCATTTCCCACTTAACTGCTGGCAGTTCCCAAGCCAGTGAGACCTGTGGGCAGAGATGTCCGGGAGTTGGGGCAAATCAGGACAACTGCCCTGGGCCCCGCGCTTTGGGGGGCCTTGCAGAGCCAGGTGGAAAGCCTGTGGCTGCCACGGTTGAACTTTAACCCACCCTCCTGCCTGGTGTGTTGGGCGTCTCTTTGCCTGTTCCAGCCGGACGTTCCTGCCACCACCCCTCCCGCCACATCTGGTGTGCTGGGGTTCTCACTCCCTGGCATAAGTGTGCCGTGGGACGGGGAGGAAGGCCCCCGCACAGGCTGCTTTGCCCCAGACCACGCACCCTGCTGGGAGCATCTCTGCTTGTGGGCCCTGCTCTTGACACTAACACAACTTACAAACTGCAGCGCTAACATGAGGCATACAGGCTCTCCCAGAATACATGGATGCCTTGTTTCTTTGATCATACGCTAGATGTCCAAGGGGCACAGCCCTTCCAAATGATCTACACTTCTCTGATCAGTCACTCAACAGTGCAGTACTGAACATTGAACACAGGGGAAGCATGTGCTGATGTTTCCCATAGGCTATTTTCAGCCCCAGGGAGCAGAGTTAGCGTGGGGTGGATATATAGCATATCTCTGTTCTTGGCATTCATTTAATCATAGAATCAAAGGACTGGAAGGGACCTGTAAGATCAAGTCTGGTCCCCTGCCATGGGCAGGAGGTTATTGGGCTCAAACGAGCTCAACGAGGCGTTTGTCCAGTCTCATCTTGAACAAGGATGGTGATTGTGCCACCTGTGCTGGGAGCATGTTCCAGATTCTAGGCACCCTAGTGGAAAAGAAGTTTTTCCTAATGTCCAACCTAATTTTTTCCTCAATTAGCTTGTGCCCATGGGTCCTCATCCTCCCTGGGGGTGCCTTTCTGAAGAGTTGCTCCCCTAGATTTTGGTGTTCATCCTTGACATGCTTGTAGGTAGTGCCTTACCTCCATATATCCAGGAGGTAAGGTGCTATCTATATTTAAAGTGCCTTGCCTCCATATATCCAAGTTTTCAGCAGTCTGAGGTTTGCTGATCTTTGGTAGGGCCTAGCAAGCTCCAAAGAACCTTAATTCTGTCCTGATAAAGCTTTTTGTCATTGAACCCTTTTTAGTGAAGTTGCCCAGAGTCAACTCTGAATAATAGCCCAGGATGTTTGAATAAATATGGCCCACTTTCTGTGTTCTACCCAATTCTTTGGCAGTTTGTTAGGGAATAAATTTAAGATTTGCTCCTGCTGTTTAATTGATAACAGTTTTTCCTTCATGACTCTTTTGGATGCTAGCTCTCTTTGAACAGAGCTAGCCTTCATAGCAAATTTAGAAAGATTATTTAATAATGTGGATCTTTAAGATAAATAATAACCACACATGTTGGTAAGAATGGAAGAACTCTGATGTAGTTATCAGAGTGGATGACTGTCACAAGAGCTCTGGGCTCTTTGTTTAGCCCTGTGACATTTTTAATTCCATTAGCTAATTGAAAGGAGATTACTTGAATGTTAATATCCCAGTAGGAAAACTCTGAAGATGCTGGTGATGGGTATATTTTAGAAACATTACTCTTGCAGATAAAGCAATACATATGCTCTTGCAAAAGACTAAATATTAGAAAACTCTATGAAGTTGTCAGTAAAGTAGAAACCTTTTTATGTAGCACACTTATTTAATTGGGATGATTTCCAGAGGATAAGTTAATTGCGGAGTATTTCATTAAAACAATAGCTAAATAGCATAACTGATTGATTTAAACCACACACCTCGTTTAAAATTGACCTCGTCATCATAAATCATAACATAATAGTGATGTTTGTTAACATAAATTTTCCACTATCGAGCCTCTTTTGTTTGTTTTGGGCATCCTCTTTGTTATGTAGCAATACTCTAAATTTATAAAATGTTAATTGCTCTGTAAGAAGCTTATTTTAAAGCAGTTTGTGCAATTTAAAATCTCTCTCGCTCAGGAAAAGGTACCGTTCCTTTGAGAACCTGTGCAGTCTCTTAGTCTCGATTCTGATGTGAGTTTCCCAGTTGACTTCATTAGTGGGAACAGGATAAGATGTTATGCAATTTTTGTTATTTTATTAGAGTCTATTCTTTTTTCCCCCCCTCACAAAATAACAAATTAAGATCTTGTAGCAGTAGCTGAATATGGCACATCTCAACTGGTGAAATAAATTACATTTTTCTAGAATTTTTTTCCCCCCTAAACACATGGTAGCTGGCAGATGACAGTCACCATCTTTTAAAAAAAACTGGTGGATGCTTTGGGTTCGTCTCAACCAGGTAAAAGATTAAAATAGCCACTTGCCTTGCTTTAATTCCAGGCCACATTTAATCTACAGTAATTCTATCCTCTTTTGTGAATCAAAATCCTTTTAATAAACCAAATTGAAATAAAATATGAACCCATTTTCAAACATGTTTCAGTCTTCAAAGGTGTAGAGACATACTCCCAAGGAATAATGACTGGTATTCCTTGAAGGTCCTTATAGCAAGCACGAGCTCTCAGGTCTTTCATAGATCAGCAAATGGAATTCCACAGATGCAAGAGGAGGAGGTCTCTAAGACTTAGTCTACAATAGGATGGTCTGTCTGCAGAATAAGTCTTGCCAGCAAAACCGTGAGCGCAGCTACACTCAAAGCTCCTCAGTGGTGGAAGAACCTGAATTTTCATCCAGCAGAGTTTCTTTTGCCACGCAGCTTGAGGTGCATGTAGGTGTTCAACTCTTTCTGCCGGCTTTAGCAGGCACTTCAGCATCTTTTACCATCCAAGGATGTTCTTATGTTTTGCCAGCATTGCTGCTGCATTGTAGCCACGTGAAGCTGTCAAGTACATGTCCTTCCACACACATTTGGACAGCCTTGATATAGCAGGTGCTATGTGGTGCCAGAACTTCTGCTGTCAGAACCAAGCATAGACAAGGTCTAAATAGTTGAGATGTAAACTGTTGGTGTCTTCAAAACCAACATTACCCAATAATGTATCTTCAGGCAGCCAAATTAATGAGTTGCAGGCCATGATTGTTTCAGCTGGGAAGGACAGAGGAATGAGCTGCAAGTAAATGCTAGAAGAGCACTGCTTGAAATCCTACTTGAGAAAAAATTAAAAAATAACAATTTTTTGTAGCCAGATGCAGTTTTACTGTTCAGGTGCCTTGCACTGCAAATTTTTGACCTAGGATTTACATAGGAAACATACTATCAGGTCCTACTAGTGACACAGCATGCAATTTTGTTTGCCAGAGGCAAGGTACTAGGGATTTGGGAGGTGGATTTTGTCTATAATCTACAAGCATTGCATCCTCTGCAGCCTCATCTGTTTAGACTCAGAATCCCAGGAACCGTTTTACTTTGTTTTGGTTCAATTTAATTGTTACTGCTTTTGAATGACTAAGCTAACTTAAATATCCTTTTTATGAAAAATCCTCTGTCTATAAGTATGTATATGTCTGTATGCCTAGTCAGCAAGCAGTGGAAATTGTTGGAGAGATTGCAAAGTGGTAAAATTAACTTCATAAAAGTCAAGATGGTAAAACCAGTACTTTTTACTTATCTGGAAATGTGAGTTAGGTTTCCATGGATCTAATATATCAAATATCTGAAGCTCGGAGTTACTGTAAATGTTTGTGTGTGATAGGCAGAGGTGGTAGTAATGTGAGTTGCCTAACACTTTCCATTATAAGACTCTGTTGTCAATTAATTATAATGTAGTTGAACTTTAATTATTCAAGTAGAAAATTTCCAGTTGTAGCTGAAATCAGCAAGAGCTCTGCTTGGGACTTAAGAAGTCCCTAAATGTTAAGTGCACTGTCACTCTTAAATTAGTGGATAGTTTTAACAGATTTGGCTTTAATCACTCTGTGCCTTAGTTTTCCATCTTCAAAACGGAAGATTTCATTTGCCAGCATTACAGGGATGTGGCAAAGTTAAGCTGATGTTTTTTAAGCATTGGGATGTTGTGGTGATATCTACAATAGGAAAGTCGTAAGAAATGACGTATTTTATGTTCACTGCAACTTTTCAGTGGTGTGCAGAAACGAAGGTCTGGGCAGGTCTTCATTGAAAAATAAGAACTGAGAGACATATCAAAGAGCTCTCCATTTATTGAGCATCATCCCTCCTGCACACTGAATGGGACAAGCTTTTTTTTGTGTACCCCTTTGCTGCTGTACATCCAGTGTTCTCCAAATGGATTTTGGTGTCAGATGAGAGTAATGAGTTTTCTGTGTTTAGAAACATCCTTATTCTTCTTTCTTCCTTACTTTTAACAGTGAATGTTGAAAAGGTGGAACTAAAGGGACTGGTGCACAAGAAAAATGAAAGAAATGAATATTCTTTTGAGGTAAGTTTTGAGGATTATTTTTTCCTCATGGAGTGAGAGAGGAGAGAAAAATATTTGCTGCATAAAGAAATCAGAACACTGAAAGGGAGCATTCACATCCAATGGACAGGACCCAGTGGGTGCATCTACACAAGATGCTAAATGTGCAGTAAACTAATCTTACTGCACATTAGTGTGTCATAGCAAAAGCCGTGCTAATGTGGAGTAGAATTAGTCTGCTGCACGTTAGTGTCACAAAAAAACTCATGCTGTGCATTCAGTTAGTACCTGTTGTTACAAATACTAAACTTGATGTGTAGTAACCACAGCACATCAATGAACGTGTAGACGCACCCAGTTATCAGTAAATGGGTGTTTCTAGTGGAGTGCCTCAAGGATGAGTGTTAGGCCTGATCTGGAAGCAAATATAAGAAACAACTCCTGATACAATTTCTGAGTGGTCTAAAGATTGACAAAGTGGGCAATAAAGATGAGGATGAGTCAGGACAGAGAGATCAGGAGAGATTGGTAAGCTGTGCCCCTTCAAACAAAATGCACTTGAACACATCCAAAAGCAGAGTTAGACATTCGGAAACAAGGAAGGCAGGCCATGCCTGCAAAGTGGGCTGTAGTTGCAGGGGTGAGGGGACCTGTAACCTGAAAAGCAGTCACTATGAAGAGCACTTAGTGTTCATGGTAAATGAACCGGTGAGCCCAAGCTTCCAGTGTGATGCAATGGCAAAGAGACTAGTGCAGTCCTATGTGTAGACAGGTTAATAGAATAAAAGTTGAGAGGTTATTTGACCTTTCTGTCTGGGATTGGTGAGACTGATACTGGAATGTTGCATCTGGTTCTGTTTGTATCTTCAAATGAATGTTGAGAAATTGGAGCAGGTGCAGAAAAGGACCATAAAAATTAATCAAAGACTGGAGGAACAGCATTTTGATGGGAGAGATTTAAAGAGTCCAATCTGGTTAGTTTATCAAAAAAGAAAATTGATGGGTGACACATAGAGTGTGTTAGCAGTTTCGTGAAGAGAACAAATATAGTTCTACAGGGCTGTAGATAAAAAAGACATTACAAGAAGAGAGGCTGGAAACTGAAACCAGACACATTCCAATGGGAAAAAGGGGCATTTTTAACAGTGAAGGTGATTAACCACAAACTGCAAGAGGAAAGTGTGAATTCTCCACCTCCTTGCAGCTTTTGGAGGTTCTGTTTGCCATGCAATGAAGTTATCTTTGTTCAAAGTGTCTCCAGGCCATAGTCTGGGAGGACTTGTATTAGAGTGCAAGGCCAATGTCCAAGTTCTGCTAGTGGCAAGAGGTTTTCTGCAGTCTAGTCCAGGGATGTGTGTTCTCCAGTTACTAACACAATACTATAGAGATTTTGCTGGTTTATAAAACAAAGATGCAAATCTGCTCAGGTCCCTTCCAACCCTACAAACTATGAAACTATGAAATCTTAGAAGATGGTAAGGAAAAGAAAATTTTAGAGAAAAAGGACTGCAAAATTTTAATTAAAATAACACTGACAAAAACATTGAGTTAAACATTAAAACTATCGCACAGGAGATGGTAGCATCAACAGAACTTGGTCTCCAGATGTGTAAGACACTGACTTTGGCACAACTAAGTATAATAGAAACTGTCCTGAACTTGGCGAATCCCATAAATGTCCCAAATGATATCAGAATTTGAGGGCATTTTTTTACGCACTTAAGAGAAGCAAGGTTTTTTTCAGTAATATCTTTTACTGGACCTCTGGCTATCACTTGTCTCTCTTATCTGACACCTATCTCAGCTATTCAGTTGGCCCAATAGAAATTATTACCAAAGAAATCATGCTCCTCACATATTCCCTGGACTATCACAGCTATCACAACACTACAACCTTACTACAACATGTGTTTTTTGAGTGCTTGTCCACTGAAGAGTTTTCTGAATATCACTTATTAACCAGTGCCATATATGCGGAGGGTGTTCTCCCGTCAAATGTCAGGTATAGTAATCAGAACTTCACAGGGAGTACTTAATAGATATGTGTCCAGATAGAAATGTGATTTCCATTCAACACCATGTTGAGTGCAGTGTAGTTAAGTCAGTACATTGTAGTTCATAGGGTTAAAACCTGATCACTCCACATGCTATTTTGAGACAATGGGGACAGGAAGCAAGTCTGACCAAACTGTTTGAAGGTTTCTTAACTACTTGTCCTTGCAGTCGTCAGTGCATGCAACAGCCTCGAAAATGCTGAAAATTATAAGAAGTTATCAAAACATAAAGCTATTTGAACAGATGTCAGCTGTTTGTATTATAAAACCGGAAAGAAAAAGATTCGCCTCTTTTTATATTTTGTAAAACAGCTCATGAAATTTGAAAGAAACTTATTAATGTAGCATGGGAGAAAGAAAAAACAGATGCTTTGTAGAACTAATCACTGCTTGGGCTCCTTATTCTTTTTTGTCTCTCGCTTGCTTGCTTGCTTTCTTGGTTTTGGTGCAACAACTCTGGGAAGAGGAAATTCCTCAATTATGTAATGTATTTTGAAATACTCTTCTCTTACCAGTATGTTTGGCACCATTCTGACGGCTGGAAAAGCTTTGTGTGTGTTTTCAGTTGTCATTGAAACTAGTGTCATATGAGAAGATTGCTTCCTGGTTTTTAAAAACACAAAGAGAAGCTTTTCCCACATTTTAATGTTGTAGATTCACCTACTTTCCAAACACCTCAGTCATTTCAGATCAGGGGATCTTTATGTTCAACAGTGAAATCCAGTCTTTGTGCTTTTTTGGCTCAGTTAAATAGTCAGCTACCAACGGATGAATGCCTATGTACTTTTTGTGGGTAAAAAATGTAGTGACTTGCTCTACAAAAACAAGCTGGAAGAGAGGCTAATCACTTTGCTTTTCTAGAACATACACTAGACATTATCTAAAGAGGGTGGATAGAAAAATAAGGGCAGGTTTCATTGTTCACACTCTCCTGTCTACCCCCATGGGAAGTTTTGTTCAGATCCTCATCTTCGCATTACATATGGAGTTGATTATTTATAAATAGGCCTTGTTCTGCTATGGTTTGCTGTTCATATTGTGCCTAAATTGTACAAACCAGCTGTTTCAGTTAACAATAGGCAGAAAATCTTTTCTCCAGCAGTGAACAGTCTGAGTGTTTGTTAACTTTTCCTGAAGCTGGCAATGGCTATACAAAATATAAAATACATTTTTTAAGAACTCTTAATAGCTTTATAATGGCAGTGAACGGGAGTCAAGGAATGGAAAAGGGTACTTGCAGCCATGTCCAGAGTAGAAAATGAACAGTAGGAGTGTCACTGTGAACGAAAAATGTTCACCATGTCTGTGCCACACATGAAGATAGTCCAAGCCTTCATCACCACAGCAGGCAAACTAACACCCCTGCTTGTTTCTGAGTCCAGACTAACAGGAGTTCTGCGTACTATTACTAAACCACTGCTTTTCCGCTTCTTAAGGTCTTGTGGTCTGATTCTTCGGTGACGTTGGTAACCAAATCTTCTGCTGAAGTGACTGAATTTATTTCAAAGGTAAAGGACTCCAAAAGTACTTTCACTTAAAAATGCTGGAAAGATTTGGTCTTGTACATGAGTTTATTCAATGACATTTTGGAAGTGCTGCCAGTAAAAACAAATAGATTGAACATATAACTCGTAAACATGTAACTCATAAGCTGCCATTCCTTGTTCTTCAAATGACAAGTAACACATCTTCATTCTTGCTTCTCCAATTTGTAATATCCTTCACCTTTAGCTGTCTCAGCTGTACCCAGAAGAAAACTTGGAAAAATTCATTCCTTGCCTAGCTGGTCCAGATTCATTTTACCTAGACCGGAACCACATGGACCTGGAATCGGACCTTAGGTAGGTTTCTACAACCTGGTGTTTGCTTGTCGCTTGGCTCCTTCTCCACATGGTAAAAAAAGAAACAAGAAGTGAAAACATGTACATATTTTAAGCTACTTTGTAGAATCATACTTTCAGTTCTTTAAATATGGTTGTCTGTATCGTGCTAATTTCAGTTCACAAAAGTTTTGCAGAGATGGGTCTTTTGTTTAGAAGTGACACGGTCACACTTCTGTGTTAAATTTCTGGAAGAATTAGAAGCATGTGGGGCTCTGCGTTAGAAACAACGGACTGACTAAGATGTTTAGACACTAATGTCTCTATCTAGACTAGATACTAAGCACTGTTTAAAAATACGGTAGTAGTATACTTCCTAAACACTTCTTTTTCCTAGTTAAGATATACATAGCATTCCTGTCACTGGTGGAGCTGCATGGGTGGATACTATTTTTCCAGAGTAAGAGACAGAAAACACATGCTTAGACTGTCATGGTAAATAGTGTCATTATTTTAAATAATCCCTCCTACATTTTAATGGTCACATTAATTGATATGACTAAGGTGGAGTAACGGAGATGTCACATCTTTGTCGCTGCTGTTGTTCAGCTAGCAAATTTTCTCCTAATCAGTGTTAAGAGCAGCAGCCTATATTTATGTAGCAATGGTTGTATCTTTGTGACAGAGAAAAATAGCTTAATTCTAAAATGCTAAATGCATGACCTAGAGAGCTAGTGAGATCTCCATCGCTGGAAGTTTTTAAGTCCAGGTTGAATAAATATTTGCCTGGAATGGTTTAGACAGGGCTGATTCTGCCTTCAGCAATGGGTTGGACTAGCTGACCCCTCAAGCTTCCTTCCAATCTTATTTTTATGATTCCGTGACAAATTACAAATACCAAAGTGTATTGTTTGCAATTCCCACATTAGTGACTTTTCTCATGTCTCAGCTTGTTGTTAAATATGAAAATGAACAGTGAACTTTCAAGGTGGAAGCTGGAAGCATATATCTGTATGTGTAACTGAACTAACTTTTGACCCAACATTTTTTTAGAAGTTAAAAATATGAAGAGACAGTCCAAATTTTTTTGCTTGTTCTTCCCTTTAATGACTTATTGGATACTTTCAAAATACACAAATTTGGCTGATGCAAGAAGCCAAACATATTAGTTAGCTTAATTAGAAAAACTCCAGTTATGGTCATATAACGTATGTTTATGCATTATACAATCCTAAAAGATTGCCAGCTTTATTTCCTGAGAGACACACCAGTAAAAGAGAACACGTGACACCAGTTTTACAGCCTTTCTTTCCCATGCTGCCAAATGCTATGCCTTCTGTTTATCTGAAAGTCTGAACAATACTAGACAACTACATATTGTAGGCTTTAATTTCATGGTTTTAAGAGGAAGTGTTCAAGTTTATTCTTGCACATTATCAGATAACTGCTTACTGTTCTAACCTCTTGTATTTATAAGTTTATCAACTCTGACTTTAATATATTAACTGGCATAGAGACAGCATAAAGGAATGGAATTGATTCATTTTGTTGGAAAAAGAGGTCTATGCAGATTCCAGGTCCAGTTTATTTCAGGATTTTCTAGTATTCCTACTTTTAGCAAGGGGGGGAGGGATTTCTGATTGCTTTTTCCATTTTATAATCACATTTAGAATTTTATTTATAGACTACCGTCTTTATTTCATAGTCAGTTTCAGAACAAACATGATACAGGTTTGGGTGTTTTTGTTTTGTTTTTTTTGATTAACATCTAGGTATTTGGCATCATTACCTTCCCATGTGTTGAAAAATGACCATGTCAAAAAATTCTTCAGCACTTCATCTCTTTCCCAACAACTTCAAAATTCAAGTGAGTTTAAACCAAGAATTTAAAAATGCATATATTATTGATGTAAATCAAGTAAATTGATGCCAATCAAACCTTGATTTCCCTGTTTTTAGGTCCTGGCAACCCCTCCCTTTATAAAGTAGGCACTGCGCTGGGTGCATCTGGAAGGTGAGATCCTTGATTTATATGTATTATGGAATTGTAACATTCCTTCACTTAGTTCTTTCTGTGTCCTTAAGAAGATTTTATGTATCTGGTTGAGCACCCTCACCCATATTCAAATGTGGAACTCTCAGCACTGGATCCTGAAAGATGTTGTTTCTTGGCCTTGTCTACCCAGAATATTTTAGGGAATTTGGGTACCGTGGCACAGTTCTAACAGTATTAGCAATTGTGAGAGTATGATCGACCCACTGGCATTTTTACATTGCATGCCTAAAAAAAAGTGAAGGGGTCAGGTAGCATTCTTTGCAGTGAGAGAGACAGCAGCAAATTTCTTTATCTTATTAAAGAGAAGACAAGCTATTTGACCACAAGCTGTAGGTACCTACCCAGGGAGCAAGACTTTGATCACAGCCTGTTCCATTTAACAGATAGGCTCCAATGGTTGAATGTTGAATTAGACAAACTCAGCTAAGAAATAAGGCATGTTCTTTTAACGGTGAGGATATTTAACCATTGGAACAACCCTTCAGTGATCATGGTAGAGCCTCTATCCATCTTAAATCAAGATTGGATGTCAGTCTACAAGACATGCCCAAGCTCATAAAAGAATTAATTCAGAGAAATCCCAGGGGTCTGTGCTACACAGCAGGTTAGACAAGATGATCACAGTGGTCCCTTCTGTGAATCTGAGAATGCCTGGTCTGAGCAGGATTTTTCAGCATGGTCAGGCTATAACAACCAGCTTCCATCCATGGTTGGAGAGTCCTGTATGATCACTGATTTAGTCACAATTGTCTGACTGTTACCTTGTGTTCTGCTGCATGGGATGTATTCGTCTGTTGCTTGTCCTTTACATATAGGATGAGTGCTGTCAGCCAGGTCACATCTTTACACGTGTGTACAGCTTCCAACACACTGGGATGTCCCAAGCTAGCAGAGCCCAGCTCATTTGATCCTGCAGACCAAAGCTTGGACCATGGAGCTTTATGTGGGCTAGATATATCCACCTCCAGCAGCAGGACAGCAGCTCGGTGGCAGAGCTGGCAGACCCCCTGCATTGGTGCAGCTCCGGGACCCAGGGGGTGAACGTTGCCACCGCTTGCCCCCCTTTTCCCCTGCTGCCGGTTTTAGTTGCCAGTGATGACTGAAGACCCTGAATGCAGTGGTGGGCAAGAGGTTGCGGGGGAGCAAAGCAGTAACAGGATTCACCCCCTGGGTTCTGGATCCATGCCAATGCAGTGGCTCTAGCAGCTATGATGACAAGCCCCGTGGGCTGCAGTTTAACCACTCACAGGCAACCAGTTGGGCAGCCTTTCCTAAGTTATACCAGAATCAAGGTAGTAAATAATAATAGATGCAGCCGTAATTAAATAGTCACATCTTCCATAGCATAAACAGGTTTTTGTTGAAGGCCTGTTAGAGGCGTGGAATCACTGGGGGGGGGGGTCCCTCTTCGCTACATTAAAATAGCTCCCTGCAGGGTAGTGTTTCTCAAGCTGTGAGGCTGGTTTTCCTGGGGAAAAGATATACACTTCTTCTTCCCAGGGAGTTTCAAGCCAGCCATGAGAAGTGAAGGAAAGAAATATTACCGTCCTTTGCTTAGGACTTTACAACCCAGTAATGAGTTTTTGAATGCTTGACAGGGGGTTCTTTTTTTCTTCAGCTGAAAGTGGAAATACAGAGAAAAAATAAGTTTAAAAAACCTCTGTTCCTCATGCCTAAAAACTATTCCACAGTTTATATAGTATATTAATAGCCCTTTGCCATCCTTGCTGAACCCACTTCTGAAAGAATTAAGAGAAGAATGCAATATTTATTTTCTCTGAGGAGAAAGGGGAGAAAAGCTGTGCCAGAGTTGAAAACTTTGTTTTAACATTTGACATAAACTCTGCTGCTTTCACTGTTTTACCAGTGGAGGATTCCAGAGGCATAAGTCTGTAACTTTAGCCCACCACCCTGCTTATTTGACCACAAAACTTGCCCTTTATTTTATTGGTGGGTACATATGGCCGCACTAACTGAACTTGGCATGACAGTAATTCATTGTGCTGAATCAAATTACTTTTCTGTTTTGCAGACCTGTATGTGGAGTAGCTGGCATTCAGTCTTCTCAGAATCACGTACAGCATTCAGCTGCTACTTCTGTTGCACTATCCCACTGCTCTCATTCAGGGAGTACTGGTCCATCGTTGTCCTACCGTTCACAGATGGACACCTCTTCACCCATGTTAATGTCTTCCAGTCCACAGGCCCCCCAGCCCCAGGAGCAAAATGGGATTTTAGACTGGCTCAGGAAACTACGGTTGCACAAGTACTATCCTGTCTTCAAACAACTCACAATGGAGAAGGTAGGTTGGTAGATTCAGTAGGAGAACAACATGTGCTTTTTAAAAATTGATATGTCCTGGAACATGTGGATAAGAGAAGTGGTAAAACATCTGCATTTAGAATTGCTTGTTGTTTGCAGCTCGAACTGGGCAAGGTATTTGGAGGAATAATTTATTTGATGAAATTTGGCCTGTAGACTTAGATAATTTGATTGTTCAGAATTCTTTGGACACATGAAAATCTGGCTTATTTACAAACCATTTACTTCTTTTCTGCTTATGCTTTGCTGTACAATAGGTCACCTAGGCCACAATGTATTACTTTTACTTCTGGATTGGTTGACCTCCTATTTGTACAAGCTTTGCTTATTAGATACATTTTAGGACAGATTCATGAACATTTCTTACCTGAGCCTTTATGCATATATGTCTGCATGCATGTTTGACACCTTCATTTTCCACAAATATTCTTTGAAACAAAAAAATTGGTCCTTTGGATGTTCAAGTAAAAATGGTCATGAATGACACTGAAGTGCATGGGTTTTTAATTGAATACGTGGACTGCTTCATGATACTCACCTAGCGGTATCTGAAACAAGCATGTAAAATTAACCTCCTCCTCCTGCTGTATTTTAATCTTGAACGCCCCCTGGTGGATTAAATTCAGACTTTAATTCTTTTAAGTCATGGCTCGGAATTACAGTTATTTTAAGTCATGGCTCTGAATATCAGTGACTTTTGCCTCTACCCCATGTTGTGACAGATATTAATTGAATGAGCATAGTTTGAGGCTGCAATCTTCTTACGTCATTGTTCTCATTCAGAAATGGAAAATCTGTAATGTCAAAACTGCATATTTTAATGCGGTGACTTTTTCTTTTCAAACAAGTACTCTGTTTATCTTGATTTGTATAGTCTGTTAAAAAATATTTTCAGTAGATTTGGAGCTGTGATGAACTCTGCTCTAGATGTGAGAGTCAATTGATTTCTGTATTAAATGGCAAAGTCCGGAAAACTCGGTTACAGTTTAACTTCGAATAACCAGTGGATTTATCTCTTGTATACTGAGACTCAGCAGGAATCAGAATAACATTTCAGCAGCAGAAGAGTATCGGCATAAATCAAAACCTTTTTTGACAAGTGATAAGTGAAACGAATGGAGCTAAACCTGCCCCAGTCTCCAATGAATCCATCTCTCACCACTAGGGAGGGGAGCCCTGCCTTCCCACAGGCAAGAGGTGGGGAGTAGAAGGGTGGAGATGATCCCTTGCATGATAGATATTAGCTGTTACAACCGCTCTTCCCTGGGTTACCAGGAGAGCCAGGTGCATCAAGTACTCACAGGAAAGAGGAGTGCCAGGAATCTGTGTTCTTAATTTGCCCTTTGCAGTTTATCTTTCCCCCAGGTTGGCATATTGCTTGTACCTAATTTTCTAGTTCCCAAACCATGTTTTCTGTATGCTCGTCCATCCTTGACGCTATTGAATAAGTATTAAAGATCCTGGGGAAGAATCCTTGAAATTTTAGTTTGGTGGGTAGGGTCGGCTGGACCAGATCTTTGTGTAGTTCATTTTTTGACACAAAGATGTCTTTCAGTGTCCATGTAGACTGTTCTTTTTATTGTGAATGACTGATATAGGCTACTGATAGTTTGACACTGGAATAGAATTTCATAAAAGGCATGTATTTTGGCAAGTCTTAAAGATGCATCTCAGAAATGATCATCCTTGAATGTTTGAGCCTACAAAAAGGTCATTTGAAATGGATGTAAGCATATTGTGTGCTGTAAAGTGAACTCCATCCTTTCTCCTGTAAGTTTCTGAGCCTTACTGAAGAAGATCTGAATAAATTTGAGTCCCTCACCATGGGAGCAAAGAAAAAACTCAAGACACAGCTGGAGCTGGAAAAGTAAGTTTGTGCATGTGTGTGTTGGGGTAAAAATTGTCTATTTTCTCAGCTTGTGAGGTAAGGTATTGTACAGCTTAGAACTCAGACAGAACAAGGAGCAATGGTCTCAAGCTGCATCAAGGAAAGTTTAGGTTGGATATTAGAAAAAAACTTTCTTACAAGGAGGGTAGTAAAGCTCTGAACAGGTTACCCAGAGAGGCTGTGGACTCTCTGTCCTTGGAGGTTTTTAAGACCCAGCTAGACAGAGCTTTGGCTGGGATGATCTAGTTGGGGCTGGTCCTGCTTTGAGCAGGGGGTTGGAGTAGATGACCTCCCAAGGTCCCTCCCAACCCTCATTTTCTATGATCCTACAAACTCTGGAGTTGTAATCCCAGGTTTAGTGGTTTTTACTATGAAGGCAGAGCAAATTAATAAGCCTGCAAAGATTCTGCACTTGTAAATTTAGATGCTACTTATCTTTCTCATAAGAGTGGTGAAGGGTTAATTAGTAAAGAAAAAAAAAACACTTTGGAAATGTGGATTACCATGTAACATTTATTACTTTATTATTAGGTACTCAAAGCTGATAAGCACCTAAAAGAACAAGTGAACTCAGCTTTAAAGGGACACTTAATTTAATCCTAATGTAAACATATTTCTTTACTTATGCAACTAACATCTTCTTAAATTACTGTTATTGGAAGAATTTACAAGATCTAAATTACCTGTTACTGTTTGCGTTCTTTATCTGCTACTTGCTTGTTTCCGGTTTTGTACCTGGCCGGTACTTAAGCACAGTAGGCCAAGGTATACTGCTCAAGAGAAACACGTTCCTTCCTGAGCAGCGGCTTGGACCGTAGGTTTAGAACTGCAGTCTTCCCTTTGTTGACAGTGAACAGGCACACTTGTGAGTAGGAGATTTGCTTCCAGATTGGGGATGGAATATGCCCTGTGTTTAGCAACTAATCTTTTAATTGTTTCATTATAAACTTGCATGCAGACTCACTCAGTGGCCAGATGTTCTCGCTTTCAGGAATGATGCTTTTTCTATCCTCTGTTCTCCCTCCCCCATGCTCTCTTTCTCTGTATGTTTCTTTTTCACTCTGCATTTCTTTCCTGCAAAAACTCCCCCTTCATCTCCTCTACCTTCAGTCTCCTTCAGTTCCCCATCCTGGCTAATAGAATGATCTGTGCCCATATCGTTAGAGGCATAGTGAAGTTTCATCTTCCAGCTTTTGGGCTACTCCTTAAATGAGTTAAATATGGATGGGAGGGAGTTCCCACATCTGAGTCAGGCTGTCTGCAGGCTGAGGAAGACATTACTGCATTGGTTATATTCGCTTTACATGTGGAATTTTAATTAGAACTGAGAATCTATGGAACTGAGATCTGTGGAATAGAAAAATGCCATTTGAAGCATATAAATGCACTAGTTTGCATTAACTAATGTTTCCTTTTCTCCTCTCCTTTAATCACTGCCTTTGAATTAACTAATGTATTAGTTGTACAGCTGTAGATACGCATGTACTAATGTACATTTGTATTAATTCAATTGTATTAACTAATGTTTCTTTTTCTCCTCTCCCATATTGGCTGCATAGGGAGAAATCAGAGAAACGGTGCCTAAATCCAACAGCACCTTCTCCGGTTACTGGCAGTGGGGTGGCTAGGGTCCCTCCAACTACTCACATAGGGCCTCTCCAGAATATTCGTGGCAACCATGCTGCAGGTAAATACACAATGTAAAGAACAGTGCACTGCTGCCATGGTGAGGCTGGGTATCTTACTGCACAATAAAAACTCGTGGCTTTGCTGCTCCAGCCCCAGATTAGAACTGACTTGCTTCATGTGTTCTTGTACTTTATGATCTCTGATGACTGAAAGATCTTATTCCTGGGGATATTTGAGTGATGAAGATGTAATTGCAGTTCCGTGGTTTGCATATGAAGTGCTGGTTTTGCTGGTGACTAACCATTGGTCCTCTGGACTTGTATTCCCTGAGCTAATATGAAGCCCTATGAGGCTGAAGCATTCCTCTGTATTAATGGCCGTGGTGTTGTGAAAATACCCGTCAGCTGCAGTGTTGTAACTAGGCTTTTGATACCCAGATGACAGTTCTGCCATTAGTTTTCACGTTTTCCCTGATTTATCACACGTTTGTCCCTAGAGCTGCGTGTAGATGTGGATCAGCCAGCCCACCCTCTGCCCCGAGAAGGCAGTTCTTCTGAATACTCCAGCTCCTCTTCCAGCCCCATGGGGATCCACACCAGAGAGGAGAGCTCAGACAGTGCTGAGGAGAATGAAAGGCGTAAGGGAAAGCAAGCAAAGCTTCTGTTCGCATTTGATCTGCCTTGTCTGGCATAGCAGTTGTATTTATAGATCTGTTTCTGCCCCTAGGTTTAGAGATTCATTTGGACGGTTCAGAAAAGGAGAAACCTGTGATGTTACTGAATCATTTTACATCCAGTTCGGCCCGACCCACAGCTCAGGTTCTACCAGTGCAGAACGATGTTGGCTCCAATCCATCCGGCCACCATACCTTGTCAATGCAAGTGATGCCTGCAGCCTCTACCCACATCACTCCTAGTCGAATGCTGAATTCAGTGCATAAATCAGAGCGTGCAAATACAGAAATGAAGCTCCTTTCACTTCTGTCTTTAGAAGAACGAAATAAAGTTTCACCTGGACCCAGAAGCAGCATTAAAATGGAAAAGAGCTTTGGGAATACAGTGGTGGATGTGACGCCAACCTCATCTCCTCATCAGCCTCTGCAGGTGCTCTCAGGAGTTCCGGAAAACAGTTCACCTGCATCTACAATTAACTTTGGTCATCGGACCAAAGTTGTGCATGCTTCAAGTCTGGACCGAGTGATAAAGACATCCCAACAGCCAGCACTAATCGTGGAAACGAGTACTGCTCCCACCGTGACATCCAGCACCGTCTTCCAAATGGCTCGTCCACCCATGAAGCTCTTGGTATCTTCTTCGGTTCCGACTGATTCTGCCATTGCTGGGCAGACATCCTGCTCCAGTAATATGCAAATAACTATGTCCCCTGCAATAATAAATCCCCGAACTGCTCTCTATACAGCCAACACCAAAGTTGCCTTTTCTGCAATGAGCAGTATGCCAGTGGCCCCGATGCAAGGCAGCTTCTGTGCGAACAACAACACTGCCTCTTCCAGCAGCCATCCGTCCACGTCATTTGCAAACATGGCAAACTTACCCAGCTGTCCCGTACCCAGTTCTAGCCCCACACTGTCATCAGCCGCTGAGAACAATTTCTATAGCAGCAGTAGCAGCAGCAGCAGTAGCAGCAGCAACAGCGGTGGATCTGCAGGGAACATCCCGGTACCAAATCAGAATCACCATCACCACCACCACCAACAGCAGCAGCAGCCTCCTGGCTGCATGGTGTGTAGCTCCTGTGGATGTAGTGGGAACTGTGGCTCAAGTGGTCTGACTGTCAGTTATGCGAACTATTTCCAGCACCCATTTTCAGGGCCTTCAATGTTTACTTTTCCATTTCTGCCCTTCAGTCCTTTGTGTAGTAACGGCTACATCAACACGCAGCAGTACAACAGCAGCACAACCTTCCCAATGGTTCACTCTCCTTACAACAGTGGTTTAACCCCAGACTCTGTCATGAGCGGGCAGTCCACGTTTGCAGTACCACCCATGCAGAACTTTATGGCAGGGACAGCGGGAGTGTACCAGGCACAGGGAATGATGGGAACCAGCAATGGTTCAAACCACAAAAAAAATGGGAACCTCTCCTGTTACAACTGTGGGGCCAGTGGTCACCGAGCTCAGGACTGCAAGCAGCCACCAATGGATTTCAATCGGCAAGGTAAGAAACTGGTGCTGATGTGGGGATGTCTGTGTGCAGAGCTGCAGCTTCATGTGTATGGGAGTTTCCATGCAGTTGAGGGACCAGTGAATCTAATGGTGATAGCTTTTCTTAATACCAAGTTTTGCGTAATCACAGACAAGTGTCCGGTTCTTCGAAGCCCTTTTCTTCTAAGGGATGATGAACTTTTGGGCTAACTTCATAGAAATGGTATTTACTTTGGTGCATAGAACCAACACCAGTTTTATGCCTAACTTAAGCCCTGTTGTGATGACTTAACTGGAACACACATGTGAGTGTCTTGCCTTGGACCCCTGTTGAGAATTAATTGGTCTATGAAGAAAGGAAGAAGTGCAGTGTCTTCATCTGACCTAGTTGTTGCTGCTGACACCATCTGTCAGTTCAGCCCCAAGTCATCCTTTTATTTTTGAATATGGGGTTATCCCAGAAGTTCATAAAATATTTAAAAAAAATAAATAGAAGCCATCATTTTAACTAGGTGTGCATATCCCTTTGACAGACAAGGTTCTTTGGGTAAATGTGATATCCTTTATTAGATGAACTAAATAGTTGGAAAAATTGTTCTTTGCAAACTTTTGGGTACAAAAACCCTTCTTCAGGCAGAGGGAGAGACATCCCTTTGAAGGACTTGAGTCAGAGTCACTAGAAATGCACATTCCATAGTGCGTAGACTCTGTCATAGGAAAGCCTTCTCCAGAAGAGATTTAAAATCCTTGAGCCAGGGCAGACGCATTTGGGAGTAATATATTGCCATACCAAGAGTATATTCAGGTCATAGCTCTCTTTTTTCTTGATATATTGGTTAAAATATTGTACATGTCATATAGCCTGGCAGAATAAAATGCAAACTTTTGGCTAGAATTGGGGAACTAAAGCGATAGATTTCAGATCATCTTGGGTATGGCCCATGTCTGTGTTTGTATTGTATAGCCAGGGGTTGGCAATTATTTTGCGCAGAGGGCCGCTTACTGAGTTTTGGCAAGCCATCGAGGGCCGCATGACAGGCAGCCCAGGGCAGATAAATATTAATTTTCTAAATTTTTTAGGGGCCCCGCGGGCCAGATAGAATGGCCTGGTAGGCCACATCCAGCCCCTGGGCCACATTTTGCCCACCCCTGGTTCAGACCATGCCATCAGCAGTTAAATATGATTTAATAATAGACCCCGAGAGGCAATACAGAAAATTAGTAGTGTTCTTAGGCCGTAATATTTTGATAATGGCAGATTAGAAGAATGTGAAAGTGTTCTAATCAGGCCCAGGTCAGAGAAGTACAGTAATGCAGTTTAAAGCTGCAGTTCATCATTTCTTTTTAATCTGTTTTGAATGACTTTGCTCTTGAAATTGCATTGCAGCCACTGCATCTTGTCTTCTTTTTGTGTGTTGCTGTATTTTTACTTCCCACTCCTCCTGCTGGTACTAGACATCTCCCTGACAGACATTTCCTGTAGCTTCAGAGTGCTGAGATTAGCTACTAGTTTTATTCTGCAACCTATCTTTTCAAGAAGTAGATTTTTAAAATGTTGTGCACTTGACTGCCTTCTTTTTTCCTCTCCTCCAGGTACATTTAGGCTGAAATATTCTCCTCCATCTGAAAGTCTCGACTCCACAGACTGACATTTTCTCTGGCAAGAAAACGCTGTAAGCCATGGAGATATAAGGACATTTAAATACAAAACTGAGACGTCCAGTTGCTGTTAAGCTTAATGTATTTTTAATCCAAAGGTGCTTTACTTTACTAGACTAGGTAGAAAATCTAGCTTAGGGGTGCAACAAACCCATTTTTGATTGCCAAAATTCAAGCTTGGATCTTGGTGTTGGAACTTGCCTAGTACGTATCATGTGACTGATGCGTGCAGGATGGCAAGTGAAGGTGGCCAACTATGTTTTCTGTTGCAAATACAAAAAACAAAAGAAAAACCCTACGCTTTTTTTTTATTTTCTTTTTGCTGAAGAATGTTGCCATATTTGGACCTTCCAAGATGAAATGCATAACTCCAGGGCAGCTACGTTGCGATGTGAGATGAGAGCCGGAGGTTGAAGGTACGAGTGGCCATTCGCCAGAGGGCCTTTGACCACCCCTGGGCTAGGTAAAATGTCTACTTTTTTTCAAAAGTGATCAGGCACTAATCTCTGGGATTTTTAAGGATTGCACTACAGAAGAATGTAAAACTATTCAAGCTTTCTGCACTTTTAGCAGACCATGTCGCTCTGAGACCAGTGCAAGAGGCAAAGAAGTTCCAACTTTTAAAATTGGCACCAGCAGGCTATGTGACTTATATAAAAATCCTGAGTAATTTTCTCCTTTCCCCTCCAAAAGAAGACACACGGCAATTCCAGTTCCTTCTGGAAACAACCTTCCTCTTCACCATCACCTTTGCTACTAGAGAGTGCTGGGTTACCAACAGCTGAATAAACTTAGTTTCCAAGGGTCCATGTCCCAGAGACTCCAGAGTCATTAAGGCTTCAAGAATACAGATGTTCTTCTTTTTTTTTTTCTGTAACACACAAAACAGCTTTTACGCCCTGTAACTGTATATAGGTCTCTTTCACAGAAACCTTACTTTGGTTTTGTAAATTAATTTTAAACCATCCTAAAAAATAAACTCTGGCAGCAGAGTTTGCAAGCTGTTGCTTTACCTGATAGAACGAAACTTTGACTCCTACCCTGGGGCTTCAGCTACAGGATTCAGTGGTAGTAGAAGTCAAACATGTAAAAGGTAGTAACTTACATTATTGTCAAGACGTTGAAGGATTTACTGTCGGCCTCCTTTGTTGCAGTAGATTGTAGATTGCCTTGGGGTTAACTACCTAGAATACAGAATTGTGAGGTGGCAAATTAAAATTGAGACTTGGGAGGTAGCCAAACCAAGCTCGTGTTGCTGAATTGAAACGGTGTAGTCCTGGCTTGATGAAGGAACACACAAATCCTCCTGACTTGCCCAAGGAGACACAGGCCTGAAACACATAGCGATCTTTGTGTACTCAAACCTAGAAGACGACATTAAAATCTGAGGTCTTGCTTATGCTGGGAATTGCTTTTCCACCACTGTAGCCACACCAGTGTAAAAAGCATTTGTGCTGATGCAATGTACGGCACTTCTTACGCTGGGGCAAAGCTTCTCAAGGTCAACAAAACCTTAGCTACTGAAAAGTTGGTTTGAGCAGCTAATGCAGTAAGTTGTCCATCAAGCTTTTTCTGGAAATGTTAGTGAGAATTTGAAGGTGTGGGCCATTCTTCAGTTCCATTTGCTCAAAATGGATGGTCAGCCTCATCGTGAAACGCCAGCAGGTTAGGGCAGCGCGATAAATTGGTACCGCTGAAGAACCACTGTCACCTGAGGCGACAAGACACCAACCGTGTTCCAGGTAGATTATCTTTGGAGGTCATACCATTTTTTTTGGCTTCATGAAAACCAAAGTCTAAAGCTGTGTAACATTTGGTTTAAAAAGAAAATCTGTTCTTTCTTATTTCTATGCAATTCGGGAGCTCCATATTTCTGTATCCTTAAATGGTTCAGTTCACACTACACAGCATTGCTTGCAATATTGGAAGTTATGTTTGCTATGCCTGTATTGTAAGGAGGTTCGCGAGCAACATTCAGACCTACAACACTAAAGTGATGAAAACTGACAATGCAATTTACTTTGCCTTAATGAGCTTGAGACAATAGGAGGAACAACCTGTCATGCTGTGTTACGTTAAAGGACACTTGCAGTTTTCACTTAAAATGTTTACTATTTAAGATTTTGAGGGTCTCTCCAGTGGCCTGGAACATGTGCTGAAAGCCAAACTTTAACATTTTTTCACTTTTTTAAGACAATATTTTAAAACCGAACTATATTTAAATAAACTGTATTTCACCAGACATGCAAGTATTACAAACCCTCACAAAAGACCGAACAACGAGAGCAAAAAACTTAATATTTTTCTGTGATATTTTGCTTTAGTGGCCATGGCTGGGAGCATAGTCTGGTCTAATATTCATCAGAAAGTCAAAAGGGTCACCAGGAGTATGAAACTAAGAGTGAACTCTTGTCCAGCAAACTTCTTTAAAAAACATTTCATTCCTATGTTCAAAACAGTCTTCAGGATTGCTTCTTCTATGTAAAGTTAAGGCTGATGTTTCCTCAAGGGGCGTATGTCCACTTACAGGTACATTTTTTAAATTGCTAAACCTGATCTTAAAGTCAGTTTGTATTCAGAAGTGTGAGTAAATTGAAGGGACATGCACTTAATGCACAGGTACTTGTTTGAAGAACCAGTACTGTTCTGAGTTTTCCCTGAATCAAAAGGAGTTGTGCAGTATGTTTGCTTCATACCAAGAACAACTGAAGTTGGTGAGCCTATACGGAGCACTTTAGATGCACAAAATGATTCTTAATCCATTTTAAAAAAGGCACAAATCCTTCTGTTTTCTTCTGTCTTCCCCCCCAGTTAGGCAGCTAGGCTCTGGAATAGCAGTTCCAGTCTCAGGAACTGAAGGAACCAGCTCATAAAACATTCTTGTAGGTACAGATATGGAAAATACTCAGAATTAGCTGTTTGTTCATACCTTTGCCCTGCAAGTATAAACATGGTTAACTCTCTAACTGGATTCCATTGTAGGGTAAAACCGATGGTTTAAAAATGCAAAGCAATAGGGTGACCCCTTGTCGTTTCGTTGCAACATAAGAATTGTGGGGTGGATTATAGCTCTGTCTTTATTTTGGAGGAGTAAATGGTGCATAGTGAAGTTTCAGAATAGTCTTTCTGATGTGTGACATATTGGGGAAGTAGAATAAAATTATCAACACTTGTTCAGAAACTCAGCAGCAGAGGCAAATTCATGTTCATGCTGGACACTAAACTACAGGAGGTTCAACAAGGAAGAGTTGTCTTACCAAGTGGGGTATTTTAATCATTGGATTCTGTAGTAAATTTTCCTAAACCGCTACATCAGCTTTCATATTTTGTGAAATTTCCCAAGTGGCTTGTAAAACAACTGCTAGCAGCCTGCCAGGAATTAAGTGAAATGGCGATATAAACCAACCCCTCTTCCTGTTGCCTCCCCTTGCATTTCATGCCCTTTGTTGCTTCCTGATTTTGTGGTGATGATACCAAGGTATCGAAAACCTTAGTTCACTGTATTTGGCAGAGAAATTAAAAAATTTAAAAAAACAAGTGAGCAGAATACACTCCCCCACCCCAAACGATTGGTTTTTGCCATTACTTTTACAGTGATCTCAGTCCCAAAAAGCATGTAGTGGAAGTCACTGATGCTCAAAGCCATGCATTCTGGGTTCTCCAGACTTCCCTTTTCAGTTGGGGGAACATTTGGAAAGTCTCAATAAACGGTAATGCTTGCAATAGTCTATAGAAAACCATTTTTGTTTGTTGAGGCCAAAGGTAAATGTTACTACATCAGTACTAGAGGAGGTGGCTACCAATATCCAAATGACTTTATCTGTGTCATAACAAACCCTTGGGACTACTTGTTGTCTCTGTTAAATTCTTAGGTAGGTGAGAAATGTTTTGGTACTGAAACAGCAAAATCCTGTGTGTTTTGAAGTGCAGATTAACAGCTTCTTTTGGAGGTAACTTTCCATTAGGACTGAAGGAAACTCCTACTCCCATTTGAGCCATTTCTTTTACTTCAGTCAATTCTAGTATTACAAATTGTGCATGTAACTTTATAAATATTTTAAATAGTTTTGTAAATATTTAATATCAGCTAATTTGATTTTGAACTGTAAATGTCAAGTATTCTGGTATTGGGATTTTTATGTTTTATTATACTTTGTTAAAGGTAAAATTGTACATTTTTAGAATGTTTTTATCTGAGTAAATTTAATGTATGGAAAATAAAAAGTTAAACAGTGCTTAAGCAGCATTTCTTTATTCTTTTAGGCTTCTCCAACTCGAGCAGGTAAGTACCAGAAATAAACCGTACAGGTAAAAGGCAGGGTGGAGGTGCACCTTTCTTAACAGGTAAAGTTCTCTCTAATCCAAGTCACTGGCTGAGGGCTGTCACCACATCTATCTGCAGTTGCTGTTCTCTAGAACCACTGTGGCTGAGTCAAGGGCATTCAAGGCTGTCCTGCAGATTATGCTGAGCCCTTGATAATGTGGGTCTTTGTGCAGCAGGCTGCCTGTTGTCCTAGTCACCAGCGATTCTGTGGCGAGTATTGGCTGCGACTGTCCCAGGATGCAGGCAGGATTACAATGCTGGTCTCCAATGGCCAAAGACCAGGAATTACTAAGCACATCTTCAGAATTTGAGGGCAGCCACTTTAAATCCCAGTTCTGTTGCACTGTGTTCTTACGGTAATGTATACAGAAGCCACCGAGTGATTTCCTGCCAGAGATGTTCCTTTGAAAGGCTGCAGTTTTAAATTGCTGCAGGTCTGAATTCTGCTATCCACACTGCTGTTTTAGTACCATACTAGTCAGTCTCATCTGGATCATTGTGGACTGCTCAGTGAAGATGGCTTAATAGCACTTAAACCCATCATGCTTTTAAACCATTCTGTTTCTCCAACTAAACTCCAGCAATTTAGATTTCAGCTTTGAACAGAAAGCCAGCTGGAGATTCTTGAGTGACAGGAAGGTCTTGATTGAAAAGCTGTGGGCTAGGAAGTATGTGTTCCCCCTAGAAACCATTTACTAGCAGACAAGTCCCCTTGGGTAGCTAATTATTATCCCTTTATTACAATTACACAATACATCCTTCCCCACTTTAAAACAGCAGTAGGGCTGGTTTAGGATGGCCACATACCTCCCTTATTTCCAGCTAACACTCCTCTTAGGTTTGTGCCTGGATGTTCCACTCAGCACTCATTTCCACACTATTCAGTGTCCTGAGCGTCACTAGAGATTATTTGTCTGAACTGGGACCTGCCATACAGACATCATTCAGCCATGCACTGAAACAGGTGGCATTTGTCACTACTGTCTCCCCTTCTGCTAATGGATGTTTAAGGCAAGGAAGTCTATAAATAACCACTCAAGCTGCAATTAAGTTGGGATGTAATCCATCCATTTCAGCACTGTATTAATTTTAAAAAAAGCAACATTTGTACAGGAATCTCAGTCATCGAACACAGTAGTTACAAGAATGGCTGTCAGTCTCAGTGAAACCATGATTTTACATAAACCAAACTATAAAAACATAGGACAAGCTGCACTGAAGAGTTTACGCTGAAGTAAAAACACAACAAACATTTAAAAAAAATGAAAAAAGTTAGAAATAAGCACTGAACGAGATGCATGCAAAAAGGTGTCAAACCGTACACCTTATTGATCTAGAGTGCCAAGATGCAGTAGTATTGCTTCTTTCCCACCCGCCCCCAATTATAGCAAGTTAATGTTCAGTAACAGATGCAATTAGTTCATGGATGTGTCATATAAGGATAACTCTTATTCAGTCTGTTACACTCCACTTTACAACATCAACTCTAGAGGAAGGACAGTGATCCTACTTGAGACATTCCTTCTCCACAGGATGAGCCCCTATTTATAGTGACAACAGCAATGCCAAGATTTTTCAGCCACATGCAAGTGGCGAGAAACTTCAATGATGGGATGACCATTTGCTCCTAATGTGAAATGCTTTTAAAACAGATCACTTTCCCCTACCCCCTCACTTATAACATGCACAAGTGATAGACAGTTGTAGGCAGTTTGGATTCGTATTTCCAGCAGCAGATCTGAATCCAGTGTGGATGGGTGTTAAGACACACGAGAAGGCCTGGATGCACCATAGAGCTTATAGGTAACCACACAGCTGCAAAGATGGAGCGAGAGTGGAGGGCAGACCAGGCGGAACTCCAAAGACTCAACATTATAGGGTACTATTTGTTTTTCCGATTGTATTAGCCTGCTTTGCAACTGGTTGCATCTATCCTCACAGTCTTGTCTACTGAAGTCATTTCTTTGAACCAACCCTGCCCACCTGCTATTTTCCAGGTTGTGGAGGGGAGAAGAGAGACCCCCTACAGGTTAGAAGGAAAACAAGATGCTACTGAGCAGTATTTCAGTGAACATACAAAGTGCTGAGAGAAGTCCCCAGCCTTCACTGCTATTAGCCTAAGAACCTTAACATATGCACTTCCTAAAACTAGAGGAAAGCTGGGGTGTTTGATGGGAATACTTAACTATCTGGCACCTCCTTATACAGTGGTGGTACCAAGAAAGATGATAAATTTCCCTCCCCACCACGTGCTGCAACATACTGTAAACACCAAAGCAGAGTGATTCCATAGCTTGACCCAGAAGTTTAGGATAGTCCCTGTTTTTGCTCTCCAGTAGAACAAAAAAACCCCAAAACAACAAACCCTTTCCTTGACAAGCTGGAATTTTTTTTTTTTTTTTTTAAAAGGAATTGTAGAGGGATTTGCCACAAAGATGTCACACTGAAACACATGGGTTCACTACATGAAAAGGTGCCAATTCCTTTATTACAAAGGCCAGCTGAGTGTCCCTTTTATTGGTTATTTACATATGCAAGGTATGGTTCCATTTAGAGTCCAGAAACTTAAGTGTGCCTGTGTTAAATATTACAGCAGGTTTTCAAAGCAGGGTCTGCCTGTCTGTACTGGCACTCATCTCTTTAATATCCACAAACAAGGCAAGGCAAGATGAGAACACCTGCTAAAGCAAGACTACACTATGGTACTGAGGGCAGAGTGACATCCCTTTCATTTTTCTGGGGCATGAGGGTCAAACCAAAATCCTAGGCTAGAAGCCTTACACAGCCAAGTTCACTCCAAAGGTTTCCTGAGAGGCATAGACCATGTAAAGGAATCCATCCTCATCCTTTTCACTCTCGTACACCTCCGAGATGGGCGTCGAGACGCTCACCATGCTGTGTCCGTTCACCAGCAGGAAGAAAGCTTGGTTCGAGTTCAGCTGCAAGCGCCGTCTGTTACAGAAAAGAGAGATGCATTACAGATGCCAATCGCGGGGGCTCCAGCAGGAGGTAAGAAAGGCTCCCCGAGGCAGGATGCACTGCAAGCCTCCATGAGGAATAATTTTCTTTAACACTCTTAATCTAGGGTGTAAGAATCCCAGGAAAGGCAAGCCATTTCTGTGGAGTTAGAACTGGAAGCCTGAGGTTAGAACAGGCTCTATCTGCACATGCCCCAAACGGGGGAGAGGAAAAGCCAGACAGACAACAGCGTGAAGGACAAAGCCATGACTTTTTACATGGTTTACACATGCCTGAGAAGCCAAGTGCTTGGAGTAGCAGCTTATTTTCTTGGGCAGCCCTGACAGGATGGGCCCTGCCTCTGACCCTGTAAGCACCAAATCATCTTCTGCAGGGGGATGGTGGCTTTGTTGCAAGACCTCAAGTAGGAAGACAGGGAGGAAAGCACATGTTTATTTTCTTGAGACCTTGGGTTTTGGAGTGGAGCAATCCCCTCACCCACTGGCTGGGGTGGGTAGGGGGACATGATGGAAACTGCATCATTACTATGTTTCTGCAGAGGTACAAATTTAAGGCAGCCTGGCTTCTGCCCTACACAGCAGCTAGCTTGTACCCAACTTGAGCTGAAGTTTTAGGCACACAGGGAACAAAAGGCCTATTCTACATAACATCCATATGCGAGCTCAGGGGATGTTCCTGCACCATGGCAGGGTTTTGGTACGTACAGAAAGGCGGTGGTGTACACATGGTGTAGAGCTGTGCTAATTAAAGTGCCCCACCCCTGCTTCCCAGAGCATGCCTATAAATGCCTAGGGTGTCCACCACATGGAACAACATATGATCTGGAAGCAGGGAGGATAGGGCCACTTAGAAGTTGGAGAGCCCTGGTTTAAAGGGTCACCCAGCACATTCACCCACTAGCAAACTAGTGAACGAGACTGCAATTTGGATCTGGCACATGTTAACATACTACCTGATGATCTTGATCAGCTCACTCATGTTAACATGATCCGGTACCAGGAACTTGGTTTTATCCAGAACTGGAAGCTGCTTCTCCCCTTTGTACCTTTCAATAATGACCTGGAAAAAAGAAAAATTCAGTTTCAATGATGCACTGGAAGCAGGTGCAAGCAGCTCCAAGGGGATTCCCACCCTTGCATCACTTTCAGTTTAAAAGCATGTAAGAAGAGCAAAGGCCAGACTCCGAGCGGTTATAACCACTTGCAATCTTGCTTTGTTTTAGGTGTGGCAGCTCCTCCGGGGCTCAGCTGCATGTGCACACACCTCTGGTCAAAAGATGTATTGGACAAAATGAAGAGACAAGCAGGGATTTTAGACTCACCATCAGTACAGTTTTACAGCACGGTTCCAATATTGGACATATACCACTGTCTATACAGCATTGTCTCCTCTAGAGCCAGCTTAAACATGGATCTGGCTAAAAAAGCTGTTGCAAAAGGGACCTTGCCCAAATGGGAAAGAACAACATTCTTTTGGTCAGAGGGAAGTTAATGTGGCTGAGGGCCAGCTCAGGCACGTTCAGTTTCCATTTTCCTTTTGAGTGGAGAGTGCAACCCCAGCTTTGGCAATGAGCTTTCTCATAACTTAGGCAAGAACCACTTGCAGTGGCTTTCACTGATGATAATCAGCTTCCAGCACTGAGTTTTTTGATCACATTATTGCTTCTGTCTGCAAAGCAGCAAGGCACCTCCCACCCCTCAGTAGGAGGCCATAAAGCAGGCACAACCCATGGGAAATAAGGGAGGCAGGCAACTGTCATGCAGAGACCAACCAATTAAGCACAGCCTTATTAGCAGCATGGCATTGCTCCCTCTAGAAAATTTCCTTTGGATTTCAAGCTTTGTTTTATCCTTGCATTTGCAGAGATAAGCTCAGACTGCAGCAACCGTGGCAAGAACAGGGACTCCTAATTCACCAGTCACTGGCAGCATCAGCAAGCCCCAGGCAACCTGCCCCTGGGGAAGTCCAGAGGACAAGGCAGCTGTAAATGCAGCAATGGCCCCACCACCGCTACAACAACCAGCATGGCAGAGGTGGCAGGGGGCAAAACCTGAAGACAGAGGATAGTTCAGACAAGCAGGGTGGCCCTGACTAAACAGCAAATCAGACAGGAGAGGTTGAAAGGACTGGAGCTGACAACAGGTGTCAACCCCTTGTGTAACCCAACCCAAACAGGGTAGCTAACAATCCAGCAGGGTAGTGGCACTTCCACAGGCTTCACACATGTCTTCTCTTAGGTACATTTCCTCAGCGCAGGTCCTTACACAGAACTCAAACCAAAGCACGAATGAGTGCTTATCCTTCCAGGTCCTGCTCCCCGTGGAAGCATCCTCATACCCCTCTATCAAGGCCATGAGACTCATTTTAGTTTGAGCTCTGAAAAGCAAGACTTTGGGCTGGCACTGGATCCTTGGAGGTGCAGTTTTGCTAGAAGTCGCACACAGCAACATGGTCATACCCCAGCAGCCCATGTTGCATCCAGGGAGGAGCTGCCACCTTCCAGCCCCTGGGCTTGGGAAACAAGTCTCAGACTCCACAGATCCAAGTCACCCTAAAAGGACAACCCTCAGTCCTGAAGACCCAGCTGATTCATTCCTGGCTCGCTTGCTCTCTCACTGTGGGATGGAAGCGAGGCCTAGAAGTTAAGCGACAACAGCTGTACTTACTGGTATTTTTGTTGGGTGCTGATCTCGAATCAGTCGTACATCTTCTACTCTTTGCTCTGCAGAAGGGAAAAAGAAAAAACACTGTTTATTTAAAATGCCCAGATACATACTAGATGGCTTTTTTCCTGCAATATAAAAGTATGCATGTTTATTCGGCTTTGACTGCCTTGCCAGGCATCTTCCTGTTGAAACAGCAGAATGAAAAACATTAGTAAAAAATGGGAAAGAGAAGTCCATCAAAGCAGTAAGAAACCCAAACTCTCCTGGGAGGGACAGAAGTGTTCTTCAATCAGCAAGGCAACTGCAAGAGGTTAGCAGACACAGTCCCATCGCCTGTCTGCTGAGCAGGCAACATCAACTCATGCAGATTTGCTGCGTCACATCAAATTCTCATCTCCACCTGCCTATTTGTTTAGGTATGACACCACGTGCCCGAAGAGGAAGTCATTGGCTAGACCTGCGTGGGAGCGAGGGCTAACCAAAACAGGCCAGGCTCAGCTTACACCCAGCAGTCTAGTGTTACACAGGTACAGTTTTTTTCTGTTTTGATTGAACTCTGCACGCTCCCAAACACCGATGCTGCTGCCGGAAGCTTCCTTTACAGCCTTTGCCCTAAGCAGTTAGCAAGACAAAGTCCCATTTTCCTTTCAAAGGGAAGTCTTAATGGCACCAACATAACTCTGCTTTGGCACAGTGCAGTCAGACCGGTGTGAACAGATGCAGCTGCCTGGAAATCAGTTCAACCTGCTTACGCCAGGTATAGCTGGCTCCAGAAGCCTAAAATTCGTTTCCTGGTTGACGCATGCTGGGCTGTCTTCATCTCCAAGCACCTTCCCCAGGAGGGAGATTTAGTACTGCAGCACGACGTGGAAGCCGCATTTATTGAACTGATCAGGAACAGGAAAAAAGCCACTATCGGCACCCATCAGTCCGAACCCGTTACTCGTACACAAAGGTGCCGCTAGCCTGCTGTTCAAGGCAGCGTCTCGTCCTCCTCTCCGGTCCGTGCCAAGAGCTCACACGTTACCAGCCACACAAAAGCTTTCACATGCCTAAAAAGGACCCGCAGCACATCCGACACAAGACCCTCAAACACAATTAGTCTCACCCGAGCAAGGATGAAGCAAAAACAAAAACAGAGGGTCATAATGAACAGGCTTTCCATTGACGATTTTCCCCCAGACCTCTTGAAGGCCTTTATACTGTTCCCGTCAGCTCGCCATCCTAGATGCCCACATGACTTTCTAAATTTCCTATAAACGGATGAATTCTTAACACCTATCGTTATGGCTTCCAAGGGCAGAGAAGTATTTCCAGCGAGCGATATCCTCGATGACTGAAGTCACCAGAACTGGGGGAGAGAGATTTGAGGCTGGGAGGGGCGGCAGTGCAGGGAAAAAACAAAACAACACAACCAAGCAAACTATTTCGACTAAACTTCCTTTTCAACTGGGAAAAAGGATGTATTTGCACACAGGAAGCATCGACCGAGCAGCACAAAACAGGAGAGAGAAACCTCCTCGCGGACGACGGACGCCAGCTTCATCCCGTTGCAGAGACGGGACGAGTGCAGAGACAGGGCTCGCTGCAGCTGCTCTCTGCCGTGAACTTAATACCCACGACCGAGGTTGCCCATGGGAGGTGCGGCAACCCTTTTTCGTGGTTGTGGAGTGATGCTATTGCGGAGACAGCCCCAGGAAACGACAGACCGGATTCGCCGGCTTCGTTTGACTTTGCGGAGGGAGGATCCGACACTTGGGGCGGATCAACCCCGCTCCCTGATGCATCCCCACGGGCCCGGCCCCACCAAACGGGGGGTTTGAGGGGAGGAGTGAGAAATCCCATGCGGGGCAGAGGCTGGGGGACGCCACGGGACCCCCCCCACAAGGCGGGGTGCCCCCACCAAAAGCAGGGTGCTCCTGCCCCTCCCCCACCTCCAGAAGGGGGTGCCGCCTCTCTCTAAAAAGGGGGTGCCCCCCACTTCCATAAAGGGGGGTGCCCCTCACCAAAGGAGCGGCGCTGCTTGAAGCTCTTCTCGGAGGGCATGGCGCTGGCGTTGGCGGCGATAGCGACGGTGGCGGCGGCTCAGCGCTGTCTGCAGCTCCCGGGCCCGCTCCACCGCCTCCCGCCTGCGTCATAGGGGCGGGGCCGCCCCGCCCCCGGCACCATCTTGGGTGTGGCGGTTGCGCATGCGCCGCCCCAGTGCCATCTTGCGTGTGGCGGGTGCGCATGCCCCATACTTCGTGGCGCCATCTTGAGTGTGGCCACGCCCTCCCCCCGGGTTTGGCTCCTCTGTGGGGCCACCCCCACGCCACGCGAGACACCGGCGTACCAGGCTCCTAGCTGCGCCACGTCAAACGCCTTCTCATGAGGGACAGTCCGGTTGTCCTCTGTGATGCAAAACCGTATGCCTTCATGTCCGTAGAGGACAACTGGACTGTCCTCCACAATGGCCGGCCCCTCAGAGACGGCAGCCATCGTGTGCGTCAGGGACGGCCTCGACCACGCGCACGGGGCCTGAGAGGGCTTCAGAGCCACCCGTGGAGTGGAGCGGGCCGCTGGCTGGGATTCCCCTCCTTTTCCTTGCTCCGTGCTGTCATCTCCAAGACGCTTTGCCTGGAAACAGGCTGTCCTGCCGCTGGGTTGAGGTGGCGGCGCCATTGGAGGCAGGTGGCTGCCAGCTCTTGATGTCAGCAGCCATTTTCTTGAGTGACACACCTTCAATGGGTCCTTGTTGGCCACTGCAGTCTTTGGTCATAACTAATGGGGAAGGAGAGCACTCCGGTGAAGTTGGTGCTTGAGGATCACCAACGCTGGTTGCACAAATACCAGCATCCTCACTGAACCGGTCTTCCCATTTCACATGGAGGATTTTCCAGAGGCGCCGTTGGCCATACCTCCCCCCACATCATTCCCTTCATACTGGCACCCTACCAACCATTGACATACTCCAACCCCATCGCCCTACAATAGCACAACCGTGTTACCCCTAAATACTCCCACCCCCTGTATACAAGCTCCCCACATTGACCACTGCCCCTTGCATGTAATATTGTCCCCCAGGATCTACGCTGGCAGAGCCCCGCTACATTGGGTTCGACAAGTGTTGGAACTGGATCCCCTAGAACAGAATTAAGTTACACAGTATTGACAGAAAAAAAAAACCAAACTCAGACCTGCCTACATTAATATGCCATATTTCTTGTTAATCATCATGGTACTACTGCAGCATCATGGTGCTACTACAGCATAGTCAAGTCTACAAGTCAAGTCTAGCATTAGTGTAGACTAGCACTACTTGCTTCCCTCTTGTACCACTTGTTCCCCTCTGAACCATGTCCAAATGATATGGCTCTATTACAACCCCCAGTTACAAAAAACTCTTTAAAATGATTAAAAATCTTCCATCTAGTAATACATGTTCCTGATCAACCCCCCAGCTCTCCCCCATGCATCAGCTAAGATGCAGTCATTCACATTTCACTACTGCAAACATGGAAAAAAAAAATACTATTATTTATTTATTAAATAAGTGTATTAAATAAATGCTATTGTATACAACATTACCTCAACATAACTTCAGTTTGTTTTGCAGTCTAGAAGAGAACTATATATGCAGCTAAAGAACTTGCTCCACATCCCATTCCTGTCTTCTTGTAGCTACCTGCTCCTCCACTTATCACATCTCATACTAAAATGCTGAAGCTTTAAGCCAGATCTGGCTAGTGGTTCTGCCTAAGGGAGCAAAGGGTGCTTTTGAACTGGTTTAATTAAAAACCAATGAGGGTCTGCTGGAGAAAATAGGGGTCTTACATTCTTCATAGTAGTTCAGCAGCAAACCCACATTCAGGCCTAGCTGGCTGGGACTTGTCCCTATACCATCTCAAGGCACCACCTTAATTTTAGGTATGTGTATGCTTTCAGTTGCAAGTTATCAGCTATTTAAGGGGAACAGCACCTACCAAAGCTGCACAGAGGAAGAGACATTTTCCTTGGTTTGTAACTGAGTGTTTATTTTCTCCCCTGCACTAACACCGCAAAACAGCTGGGGCATTTTTGCTTAATCTTCCAGAATACATTCCCATTCAGGCTGGAAGCAAATCAAGAAGGTTTTAGCTCTAAGGGAATTTTTATCCCACAAACTAAAGAATAGGAATTTATCATTGATTGACTCTTAATAACCTGAATATTAACCATGGAGTACTTATTATATATTTTGCCTGTTTCTATTAAACTACAGCATGTAAAAAAAATACCTTAGTTTGTCAAGGAGATGGGAAAATAAGTGATAGGAAACTAACATCTGGCAGTAATTTAAGTATAAGAAAGTTCTATGAATTAGTACTTTGCAGGTGCAATCAACTCCAGGAAACTGTAACTAACTATGAAACATCATATATTACAGATCTGTGCTATGAATTCAAGTTACAAGATGCCACATTCATAGGTGATGTTATTTAGATCCAGTGAGGCAACCCAAACTAGACAAATCTTCATTGCAAAGCCTGCCACCACATCACATCAGTTGACCAAGACCTCATTAGATGTGCAATGAAATCATTTCAATTGCAACCCAACTCTACATTTTTTTTTTTTAAACAGGAAAAACAAAAGTCAGCCTCTGCATTGAAAATATTCGATTGTTTCTTCTTTAAACCTGCCTTATGGTACAAGCCGATGCTGTTACACAGGAGGAAGTTTGACTCGGGTCCAACCATCCCTACGTTCCTTTCTTCACAGTCATGTTCTTAGCACTGTGTTTGTTTTTTAAACAAGGGACAGACCTAGTCTTGATGGGGCATGAGTTGGAGCTGCTTCCATAACCAGTCAGAGCACAGGGAACTGCATCAGCAACGTGCTTAGCAAGATGAGCCTGTTTCAGTGCATTAAGAAGCCATATAGTCCAACTGGCTGGTGAACTGGGGATTATTTGTTTCATGGTTAGTTTTCAGGGTGAAACTAGGATTTCAAATTATAAAGATGCCACATTCACATTCTGCAGTGAATGCTCAGCAGGCACCTTATGACTCAAGGCCAAGTATTTCCGGTAGCTATACAATTATAAGATGAGATCACTCCAAATAGGACTGCTAAGGGAAATAGCCTGGAGGTCTATGAATGCTTCCATGCTACCAATAGCCAAAAACTGGAGGTGGAACAAAGTTGGCTGGTTATCAGCAAGGGGATTGATGCATTAGAAACAGACTATGGGACAAAAAACAAACCATATGTGTTCTTTGGTCTCTTTATCCAATGAATGATGAGGGGAATCCTTTTTAAAAGGGACCTCAAAGTTTGAGTTAGTTTATAAAACAGGCTGGACACAGTATTTCATTTTAAATTAATTAACGAGAGAGAGTTGGTACCTCAAAGTCAGGCCTTTCAGAAGTGCCTCCATTTTCAAGCCAAACAAAGCCTTCTTAGATACTGTCTTAAAAAAGCCTCACTATTTAAATTTGTCTGATGTTTTGAAGTAGAGACAGACAATAGAAAGTGAATTTTGTGCTTTTGTCCACAAATTATCTATCAGATGTTACTGTCCTTCAAGCTCGGGCTTCAGAGCAGCAATGCAGAACAGATTAGAAAATTTGACGACTTGATTTAGGAGGCTGAATGGTGATCTCTTTTGAAGATCTTGCTCAGACTACTTTTAATATACCTCACAAAAAACTTTATACCCAAGGGTATAATTGTCCCCATTTAACAGATAGGGAAACAGAGGCAGGATGAATTGGCAAAAAAAAAAAAAGTCACAGATCTAGACAGCTGCAGTGCTGGGAATAAGTAGCAGCTCTGACTCTTCTGCTTGTGCCCCATCCTACAGGCTACAATAGCCATGAAGACTGAAATAGAACAAACCATAGATTTGGCTATTGTTAGATCCTAAAGCAGGTGTTTGCTGTTAAAAAGTCAGCTCTGTGCAGGGATACAGAGCCCCACTTTCAGAATATTCTGTGCCAAGACTTAAATATTCTGCTGCTGTCCACAGAAACATGCAGGCCTACCAGAAGCGTTATCTATTAGCTTTGATTCCTATACGGAGTCCATAAAACAAGAGCCTTAGAAGCTACAGGAAGCAAAGAGGCAAAGAAAAACAATACTGAAATAGGAAAATACAGACCTTCACTTGCCTGTTGTAGGATAGCAGGGCTCATTAATAAAAGGAATTCTTTCCCCAATGTCTCTTAGAAACTGCTCTTGGGGAAAACTGGGTCTCATGCTTTGCATCATGGTCCCTTTGAGCAATAAAGAATTTGAGCTAAAGAGTCTAGAACAGCTAAGAATGACCACCTCCCCCTGCCATTAATTAGCCAGCCATCTGTCAGGACTGTCTATACCTTTCCCCTAGGGATTCCTTATCACACATTAATGAAGAGAAACAGGCTTCTTTAAACCCAGACTACAGCTTCCACATGACTCTCGGTAGATATTTGACTCTACTGTTCCCTATAAACAGCTTTTTTCTGCAGCAACTCAAGGCCTTCAAGAGAAAGAGTTTTTTCTCCCCTCCCCTCATCCCTTCGCTTAGCAGCTTCCTAATTTCACCCATCCTTCCAAGCCAGCTTTGACTACTAGAAAATAAACCTGTTTTTACGTTCCTCAAGCCTGTTTTCACACCACCCATGCTCCAATACAAGCCAAGAGCAACCTTCCTCCTAAACAAAGCCCTCATCACAAGTCTCTTATCATCATGCTTTGGGCTGCCGGCCTCCAGGACAGTTTACTATGTTTTCAATTAAGACTAGCTCACCATCATTAGCCACTACAGAAGCCCTTTTCATACTCAGTATCCTTAGCATGTAAGCTATAGTCACTGTTTAAAAACTAGTTACCTACAATCTACTGCTGGGAAGCCCTAAATGGGAAACAGTGGTGGCTAACTCCTTTTAACCTAAACAGGTCTTTTAATGCACTCACCTAAGGACTCGGCCCACCTCCCAGGACTCAATCCAGTTCTCATCTCAGCTAATTACCAGCAGGTTGAATGACTTGCACAATCAGAGTTACCAATCCATCTCAAGTGTCTCTGATAAGAAACATGTTTTAAAGGTCTTCTCCTTGGACATACAAATTTGCTCGGTAGTTAGTGCTTCACTCTTTTTCTAGCAAATAGTGGT